TCTTCTCAACATACAGAATATATTCGAGTATAAGCTGGCCCGACTATCAGCTGAGGCACCTAATTTTACCCCCAAAACTGCATTAAAAGTGTGCTGAAAAACTCAGCTTATACACAAGTACATACGGTAATAAAATCCATACACACAAAAAGACCAATGGTCAACATCATGCTCAACACGGCCATTCAAAAAATGAAATACTTAGGAATAAAAATAAGAAAAGAAACAAAAATCTGAAAAAGAAAACTACAAAATAAGATTACAAGAAAGCAAGAGACCTACACAAAATGGAAGAGTATCCCATGTTTATGGATAAGTAGACTCAACATAGTGAAAATGCCAATACTACCTGAAGCAATCTACAAATACAATGCAATTGCAATCAAAATCCAAACTATAATCTTTAAATAAATGGAAAAACTAATAACCAACTTCATATGGGGAAGGAAAACAACACATAAGCATAGAACTCATTTAAACAACGAACTAAGTACAAGGCCTGACACTACCCTACCTAAAATCCTACTACACAGCCACCATAGTCAAAATGGAACAGGAGAGAAAACCCAGAAATAAAAGCATCTACCTACAGACAATTTATTTTCCACAAAAGACCAAAAACTATTAAACAGAAAAGAGACTTACTCTTTAACAACTAGTGCTAGAAAAACTGGATCTATTTCTGCAAAAGAATGAAACAAGATACACAGCTCACCCCATGCACCAAGTGAACTCAAGATGAATTAAAGACTTAAATGCAAACCTAAAAGCTATAAGGATCATCAAGAAAATTGGGACCAATTTAAGGACACTATTGCAGGGCATACAAAGACTACCATGGACATACCACAGAAGACATAATAGATGACCAGGACCTATTAAAAATATAACACTTAGGCACATCAAAAGATTTCATCAAAAGAGTAAAACAAGACCTCACAGAATGGGAAAAGCCTTTAGCAGTGACACAACAGATAAGGGAATAATCACTAAAATAATTACACTAACATTAATGAGTACAAGGAAGAAGGAAATGTTCTAAAATTGTTTGTGGGACTGTACAACACTTTTTTATAGGATTCATTTATGGAATCATAATACATGTATATTATATACCAGTAAAGCTGTTGTTTAAAAAGAGAAGAAATGACTCTGTTGGGTAAGTATTGGACTGCTAACTACAAAGTTGGCAGCTCACACCAACCAGCTGCTCTTTGTGAGAAACATGAGTCTATGTGCTTGTGTAAATATTTAAAGCCCCAGAAACCCTATATATGGTCACCATTGGTCAGGATTGATTCAATGACTATAGATTTGGCTTGAGTAACCAAAAGAAGGTTGGGATGACTATGCCAATATTAGAAAAAAATGGCTTTAATTCAAAATCTGTTATAAGAGGCAAATGACATTATATTTCTGGATAAGAGGTGTCCTTCTTAATCATGGAGATATAGCAATTATAAATACACATGCATGCAACGAGAGTCCTACTATATATGACAAAAACTTTGACAGGATTAAAGAGATATATATATTTTCCATAATGTTTGGAGACTTCAATATAATACTTTCAATAAATGATATAACATCTAAACGGAAGATCAACAATGAAGTAGCACTTAAATAACGCTATAAACCAAATACATCTAGCAGACATAGGAGGGGGTTTCAAATTGTGTAAAAAGATTCAATTATCTTTTATAATAGTTTTATTGCCACGTAATTTGCATATCATCAATTTAATAGTTCAATCACAAGAAGTGCTGGATAATCAATTTCAGAACATTTCCTTCTTGCTCGTATTCCTTGTTAACTCCCCATTTCCTCCCAACCTCCCCTGTCATATCCCTAGGTAATTCTTAACGCAGTTACTGTTTATATATTCACCTACCCTGGTTTTCACATACAGAAATTCATAAAAAAAACAAGAAACAAACAAAAAAAAACCAACAAAGACAAAGCAGAGAAAAGCCTCAAGTCAGAAGAAGGCAGAAAATATTAAATACTAAAACAACCTTAAACTGAGTCAATAAGGAGATCAGATGATAAGGTGTTACATTTTAACTTCACTACAGCTGCCATGATTCATTATCTTTTAATTCAATTTCACAATAAAATATTGAAGCCCTCTCATATGAGTGTTACAAAAACTAAACAACACACTATTAAACATCTAATTGTAATCGGGTCAATTCAGACTCACAGCAACCCATGTGCACTAGAAAAAACTGTTCCACAAGGTTTTGCATGATCTACTCTACTTTTCTACTTCTACATACCATTTCTTTCAAAGTATTTCTGGATAAACTTGAATCACCAACTTTTTACTTAGCATCCAAACATGTCAACCATTTGCACTACCAAGATATACAAATTATTTGTCATCCAGCGGAGTATGACTCATTGCAACCATATATATGTGTGTGTGTAAATTTATATAGAAATAAATTTTACTTAAATATTATAGTATTAACCACACAATTATGTTATATAAATAGATAAAGTAAATTCACATAGTTAAATATAAATATTAAATTATCTACATTAATTATATAAAAAGTATAATCCACTGAATATATTTACAAGGGTAAGTCAAAATGGTCTGCTACAAAATCATAGCAAAAATATCACAATATGAAGCTATTCTTTCTTGTCATAACCTCAATCTACATCATGACACTACTGAAAGTGGGGCTTCTATATCTCTTAACTCTTCCTTGAAGAATTCTTTGATTTCCACCACATCAATATTTGTTTTGGCATCCTCAGGGGGCTCAAATAACATTCCTTTTAAAGCAGTGGTTCTCAACCTGTGGATCGTGACCCTTTTGGGGGTCGAATGACCCTTTCACAGAGGTCACCCAATTCATAACATTAGAAAAATTACAGTTATGAAGTAGCAATGAAGATAATTTTATGGTTGGGGGTCACCACAACATGAGGAACTATGTTAAATGGTCGCGGCATTAGGAAGGTTGAGAACCACTGTTTTAAAGTTTTTGTAGTTTGAAGAACAAAAAGCTGCCTGAATGGGGCAAGATCAGGGTAGGGTTTCTTCTAGGACACCCTTTGCTACCGTAGAAGAAAACGAAAATGAAGTGTAACAAAGGAAAAAAAACTCTTCTATGCAATTGTCCTGAATTTTTTCTCATCAATGTTTGTTTTTTTTCCAATTTTTGGAAAACTTCCTTATAATAAGTGTCTGTAATCATCCAGTATGTTTTCAGAAAAAAATTATCAGGATTATTCCTTTGGAAACTCAAATAGCAGTCACCATAACCTTCTGAACTGACCCCTCAGAAATTACTCGTTTGTTCAGATCCTTTTTTATTTTGATGTTACCCTAATGAGATTAGGACAAGTTACCGAGAGAATTTGTCTGAAGCCATCTACTAATTACAGAGATGGCATTTTTGTTGTTGATAGTAGTGTTCAACTTTTTATTATGAATTGTGTGAAAGTTTACAAAGTAGAACAGTTTTATATTAAATAATTCATACACATTTTTTCAGGTCATTGCAATTTCCACAATGCAGCATCACTTATCCCACTTCTTCCTGTGTTTCCTGCTTCCATTCCATCTTTTTCCCTAACTCTTCTGAAATTTATATTTGTGTAAATTATTTCCTTTTGACCTCAAATGGTTTATTCTTCTAAGGTGCAAGTACCTCACTAGTCTTATTGTTCACCTTATAGACCTGTCTATTGTTTGGCTTAAAAGTGAGCCATGAGAGTGAGTTCATTTCCAGACTTGTCAACAAGGGTCCTGGTCTATCTGACCTGTAAGCCTGACTTTTATGAACTTGGGTGAGAGGGAAGGCAATATACAATAAAGGTCAGCAAAAAATGATGGAGGTAGGTGAGAGAAGACATGGAGAGGAGTATAACAGCTAAAGACAATAGAGGTATACACAATTATATATGCAATCCTGTTAGAATGATACACTACAAACACAAATAGTTGCAAGGACAGATTGGAAGGCTGATCAGGTAGAAAGGGAAAGTGTCATATATATGACAGTAGATATCTGAAAATGGTTATTTATCTTTGGTGCAAATATATCCATGAATGAGGTACAGGGGACAGAGCTATGAAAACTCCTTAGACATCACAAAACACCTGAGGGAATGAGTCATTGGGCTGGAGTTCTGCACTATGGTCTCGGGGACACCATGGTCAATTGGCATAACAATACAGAAAGACAAAGCTGTACATCCTATTTTGGTGAGTAATTACTAGAGCCTTAGAAGCTTGTTGAGTGGCCATCTAAGGCACAAATATTGGTTTCTTCCAGTCTGAACAAAAGAAAAATGAAGGAATTTTAAGACATATAGAAACAATTGGTCCAATACACATGGCCCATCTTGCCCACATCAGTCTCCATGACTACAGCTAGCTGGTACTCAACTACCACTACCAATTGCTCTATAAGGGGTTATATCAGGACTTCCAGGATAAAGAGGAATAAAAAATGTGGAACAAAACTTGCAGAGACATGCTCAAATATGTTTTGTTTAGTAAAAAACCTGTACATGTATAAACTGGAACTCCAGAAGCAATACTTTTTTACATATCCTCACATGTGTGCAAACATACATACAGTATTATCCATACAATATTATTCAGCCATAAAGAAATCGGGATGTAGTACACACTAACACACGCAAAAAAATAAGCTTAAAAAACATTTAATTCAGTAAAATAAGTGAGACACACAATGACAAAATTTTATGTTCCCACTTAGATAAACCATATGGAATAGGCAAATGTATACAAACAAAAGAGGAATAGGGAATAATTGTATAAGCGGTATTGAGCTTCTGTTAGGGGTGATATAAACTTTGGCTATAGATAATGGTTTAGGCTGAAAAACATTGTCCAAAAAAATAAAAGAAAAAAACAGCAACAAAAGAAATATTCCAGTGTTTCCCTTTCTTTAATGTCAACTTTCTTTCTAATAATCTCCTCCCATTAAGAATTATGAAGGTAAAATTTTTACCAAAAAAGGTACTCAGCAGCTTCTGAACCTGAATATTGCTGCCCACGGTACGGTACAACCCTTCTGTCTTGATGCCTAGGGAAAGAAAGTCAGGTCAATTTTGTTTATATGGAGTTTTCTTCTCCCTAGGGCAGTGGTCCTCAACCTTCCTAATGCCATGACCCTTTAATACAGTTTCTCATGCTGTGGTGACCCCCAACCATAAAATTATTTTCGTTGCTACTTCATAGCTGTAAATTTGCTACTGCTATGAATCGTAAAGTAAATATCTGATATGCAGGATGTATTAGGCGACCCCTATGAAAGGGTTGTTTGACACCCCCCCAAAAGGCCCATGACCCACAAGTTGAGAACCACTGCCATAGAGGAAAGAACACAAGAAAAGGTCAATCCACTCTCTCCATTTTTTTTCAGTCCTTCCATGCAATAGGCATATGTCCAAATTATTCATACTGCCATTTAAGTTGTACCAGACAGAAAGAATAGACTCTATAGTAAATAGAAGATTTATGTTTAAATGAATGACTGAGAATAATGCTTCCATGTTAGAAGGAAGCTAGGGTTCAATGGACAAAATTTTCCATAGGAAATATCAACTTTCAAATTTTCCTTGAGCAAAAAAAAAAGGAGGTGGCTGGAGTATGGAGATATGAAGGAAAGGATCATTTCCTTCACATATGCTGAAAAAGATAGAGGCGATATTTCAAAGAAAAAAGAGGTTTAGCTACACCTGTCCACATTCTAAATGTCCTCAGAGGGAAACCAGGAAATACTCTAAATTAGGAAAAATGCTGGCTCCACATTTTTAAAAAAAATCATTTTATTGGGGGCTCATAGAACTCTTATCACAATCCATGCATACATCCATTGTGTCAAGTACATTTGTTGCCATCATCATTCTCAAAACATTTTCTTTCTACTTGAGCTCATTTTTCCCCCCTCCCCAACCCCTTTCCCTCACGAACCCTTGATAATTTATAAAATATTATTATTTTGTCATGTCTTACACTGCCCAACGTCTCCCTTCACCCACTTTTCTGTTGTCCATCCCCCAGGGAGGGAGTTATATGTAGATCATTGTGATCAGTTCCCTCTTTCTATCCCACCTTCCCCTGACCCTCCCTCCAGGTATCGCTACTCTCATTATTGGTCCTGAGGAGTTTATCTGTCCTGGACTTCCTGTGTTTCCAGTTCTTATCTGTACCAGTGTACCTTCTCTGGTCTAGCCGGATTTGTAAGGTAGAATTGGTATCATGATAGTGTGTGTGTGGGGGGGAGAATTAAAGAAGTAGAGGAAAGTTGTATGTTTCATCGTTACTATACTGGCTGGCTCCACATTTACCTGAGTTTATATTTGCCCTATAAATTTTTTAAGCAATATATATTGTAACAAAAATAGGATGTAACAAACAATGAAATCATCATAACTCCACTTGAGGAGTGTTAGTACTATTTCAGAGTACTTTAAAAGCCATTTGTATCTCTTCCTCCTTAAAAGCATGAAACCACAAATTATCTAAATATGTTTGAATACCATTTATGTAGAATTTGCTGAAAGTTTATGAATTGTATCAAGGACTGAATGTTTATAGTGTACCTTCCTAAGATGGCTCCTACCCAATAGATGACATCATTGCTACTTTAGAGAAATTACCCCAAAATCAAATCAGAGTGACCAGATCCGAATGTTACCAAAGCTATTGTTCACATCTTACCTTTGGTCTCAATGACATTGATGCACTTTCTGACAAATTTAAACCCTACTTCATTCAGCTCCACTGTTACAAGCAAAGAAAAGTAGAATTAGACCTGCTGCAATAAACCTTGCCTACTAAACATTTAATGATCATGCAAAGCAATTCTAGTGAAAGACCTAGGGGCTTAGCCTTTTTCCCCAATCACCCTAAAGGAAAGTCCTTTTATTCAGAGGTTTATAGTTTTAACTCTTACAATAACAAAATGTTTTCGGCTCGCTGTTTGCTTTTATATAGGTTTTATGCATCAAATTTGAAACATTCACTTGAAAATGAACATAATTCCTATCATGTGCTCACTACAAGAAGAACATATGTGTTTATGTTTCTACTAATAACCTCACCATAAGTTAAGATAAAGTGACTTCTTTATTTTAACTGACAGGCAGATTTAAAACAGATATATATCATTAAAAACAGATCAGGTTTTAATTTCACAGAGGCAACCATATACAATCCTGCATCAGTATTATAGTATAAATGATAACATTTATTGTGATTCAGACAATTGGCAGTTTGTAATGTCAGTAGAACTTAATTATGAATGACTCACTTTCTTCCTGTTTTGTTATGGGGTTGTGGTAGATCTACAAAAGAAGGGAAACAAAAAAAGAACCATAGGTATTGTGAATCATTGGAGAGCATTAGGGAAGATATAACACCTCTTTTCCCAGATAGGTCATCAAAACCATTAGACTCTAGGGTTTTAACAAAGAGAAACATTGTTTTGGGAACTCTTCAACTGTTCATATTTGAATCATCTTGTCTAGATGGAAGGTTTTAAGAAGATGGATTAACACTCCCTGAAAATTGGTGATGTAATGGTTACACAATGGGCTGCTAACCACAAGGTAAGCAGTTTGAAAATACCAGCCACTCTGAGGGAGAAAAAAATGAGGTTTTCTACTCTGGTAAAGAGTTACAGTCTTGGAAATCCACAGGGGCAGTTCGACTCTACCCTATAGGGTCACTGTAAGTCCAAATTGACTCGATGGTAGTGAGAAAACTGCACTGGATTTCATAAGAGCTGAAGGTACCCTACCCATATTAGATATTTATTTACATAAATAAATCATTGAATATTTTTATGATTGAGGTAAAATATGAGAAGAAAAAGAAAGTCATTTTTTCATGGATTTCTGGGCAGAATACAAATGTCCCAGATACCAACTTGCCCATCTCAAAGACTAGTTTATGGGTATTTCTCTGTGAAAAGGTATGCCCACCTAAAAGAAATCCATGAATTTACCAAGATTTCCCCCAGTGGTCTTAAAGTGTGCGTTGTGATAGATAGGTAAGTGTGAAACTAAAGGGAAAATACTTTAGTTCATAGTGTAATCCTAGACCAACATTCAACCTCATCATGAAAACTTGGACATGTGTTTCTCATTCTTTAGACCTCAAAATCACTATATAACATGGATAAAGTTAGCCTAGCTCTTTCTTCAACCCAGAGTCTTCTTTGACTCTTTAAACCAGGGGTAGGGAACTACGGCGGAGTGAAATTTCTTAATGTGGCTCTTCTATCAAAGCCTCTGTAGCTCCCACCAAATGCTTCTGTGGGACTGTGCTAACTGAGGGGAATGGGTCAGTTTTCTTTACCCACCCACCCCTACAAAAATGAGATATTTTCGAAGCAGCAACAGAAAGCGAAACCCTGAGGACTTTGGAAGAGCACTCCAAGATTTCTGTTGGAAGTGGCAAAGGCTGCCTGAGACCAGATGCACCAGACACTGTGACACAGAGCAGTGCTGAGACTATGGAGTACCTTCTCCTCATCTGATCCCAAACCTGTGATACAGTGTGACAGAGCAAAAGGTGGGCTGGTTTCTTGGCCCATGAAAATAAACTCTAAGGGACCATGTTGCTGAGAGACTAAGGGCTGGAAAGAGAGCTGGCTGTTGGCTGAAGAGAGGTGTTGCTGTGGACCAATGACTGTATCCTTAGTTTCCTGATCCTGATTATGGTAACCTACTAACTTCCATAATAAACGCCTGTGGTGGTTACACAATTTCATGTCAACTTGATAAAGGGGTGGAGTCTAACCTGTCAACCAGGCCACAGCCTGGTGATCCCTCCTTGTGTGTGTAGCCTTCTTATGAGGATTCTGGGACTTCCCTTTTTCCGCCCCGTAGGTGGGACACTCTCTCTGTTTCATAATCCTTTTGACAAGCCACATGAAGCCACACTGATAGCAGCCAGAGCCCTGGAGATGCATCCACTGCCACTGGATCCATAGGACTTTCCACCCACCAGTCTGTGATCGTCCTGTATTTGGCATCATTGCATATGCTGTGTGAGTCTGAAGAGGAATTCATGGGCTAATACTGGACATATGGGCTAATATTAATCTTATGGACTTGACGTGGACTGGGCTAGGGTATTTTATTGATGTATAATTACTTCTTGATGTAAAATTCTCTCTTGCACATATATGAGTGTCTCTGAATTTCTTTAATCACTTGGCCTAAGACACCTTTAATTTTGAGTATTGTCTGTGAGTTCTGTGTGGCCATTGAAATACAGTGCTGTGAGAGTTTATTAAAGCAGCAACATTAGTGGTGTAAGGCTGTAGATATTTAGATATTTACTTAATAGTTTACTTAATGTTAGATATTTACTTAATAGTTTCTCCTTTTAAGAGAAAACATTTTCGCATGTGTGTACCTGGGTATTTATATGACAGATATATCTGTGTTGGTCTAGTCTTGTTGTCACTTTTACACATAGATTTTTTTTAAACATTTTATTAGGGGTTCACACAATTGTTATCGCAATCCATACACACATCAATTGTGTAAAGCACATTTGTACATCATTCTCAAAACATTTTGTCTCCACTTAAACCCCCCCACTAGGTCCTCATTTTCCCCCTCCCTCCCCACTCCCCCTCCCTCATGAGCCCTTGATAGTTTATAAATTGGTATTTTGTCATATAGATTTTTTTAAGCTGTCCATAATCAAATTGGTCAGGATCCAAATTCAATGGCTTCATGATATCACATTATTCTCCACAAAAGGCCACCCTTCAGTTTTTAAACACGTAAAAAGAGAGCAGGTGGAAGAGAAGGAAATGTTACATAAATGTCTTCATGATCCTCATACCATTTTCTTAGAGAAACATCACAGCTGTGTAATAGTTAAGCATCAGAATTCAGGGGTTGGGTGCTGGCATATTCTTTAGATGACAGTACTCATACCACTTTTCCTCTGCTACCTTCTTAGTTATTCTAAATACATGCAGAGACCTGGGCCCTACTCTTTGGTCTCCAGGGCACTAGGGGCACAAAGAAAAAAAACTTGAATGAAATTCCCCTCAAAGCAGGTTTTTGCCTTAAATAACGCAAGAGGATAGGACAATATCCAAATACTGCTGAGTATTGATAGATTTTCACTCATCCTTAAGCTCAGTTAGAAACACCTAAAATAAGGTTTATAGATTGACTTTCTTTTTTTTTTTCCGAAACAACCCTATGAGGCAGGTATAATCAAAAATCACTGACATTGAGTTGATTCCAACTGATGGTGACCCTAAAGGACAAATTAGAACTGCTCTTTTAGGTTTCTTAGACTTTAAATCTTTAGCGAAGCATATAGCTTCATCTGTCTTTTGTGGAGTGTCTGGTAGGTTTGAGCTGCTGACCTACTGATTAGCAGCTCTATGGGTAGCCTAATATGCCTCCAGGTCGCCAGGTAGGTAGAACAGATATTATTAAATCATTTTATTGATAATGAAATGAAATCTCCGGGTAGTAAAACGACATGATTAAGGTTCCATAACCATTGATTGACAGAACAAGGGAATATATTCAGGCTTTTGTGATTCCTAAATAAGGAAGTAGAACTGATTTCATATACCACTGGAGGAAACCTATAGAGGGGTACTAAAGAAAACGGACTTTTGCTTGTCCTCCTCTGCAACAGTATTTTAAATGGAATGATACTTATTGGGATACAGAATAGCAAAACCGTGTCCTCTACCAGCTGCACCCTTAAAGAGTTAGTAGAGTAATGGGTGGTGGGGCAGCAATAACATTTTAAATGAAAGCTCAATAAATGCTTGTCATGGCAATTACTTTCCAACATTCTATACACTACAAGAGGGCTTCTCAAAAATTCATGGGAATGGTATGCTATATGTTCAGTTCATATATTTCCACAAACTTTTTAAAGCTTCCTCATATATAAATTCTGCATTCTAAAGAAGACTTGATGTTCTTTCTGTAAGAAGATCTTCTTGGCACAGCCACATAGCTTAACATTAGACCAAGGAACTGAGAAAATTAGATTCTAGGCCCAGATTTCATTCCTTCTATAAGATGTCAAGTCCATTACTCTCTCAGAAACTCAAGTTGCCTTACTGTTTAAACACAGACGTGGAATCAACAATTAATCCAGCTAGAAAATTCTGCTTATGAGAAATTTTTGACCATTTAATTGCCTCAAAACCACTGTTACCACTAGAGGGCACTCATATACTAGGGTTTCTCCAGTGTCACAGCTAACTTACAGGCTCTTTCCCATCCATGGCCTCCATCCATAGCCTTCTGTTTGCTTCAGAAAGGGCTTGTAGAGTGATGGCTCCTGACCTAAGGGAGAGGTGAAGTGACAAATTTAATGCAGAAAACTCATCTGGAAGCATGGAATGCTGTGTTTCCTCTCTGTCCTGAGATTTGTCACTAAATAAGCACATGAATATGGAACTGAAGTTGTTCAAACTGCATTTACTGGGAATAATGAAAAATTTAAGGAATAGTAACTTTGAGAATACTGAGAATTGTGCTATCTCAATGGCCTCATACAAGGATCAGACAAAGAAATATGAAGGCAGGTATCATACGACAGACTTAATTGGTCCCATTGGCCTTGAGAAACATTGCTTCCTTCTCTTGCGTGTCAGCCACAGTCTGGGCTCAGAAGATGAGCATGTTTATCATAGCCGCATTCACCTATCTAGAAAAAGACTTGACTCCTTTTACCACTTAATATGTTTAAAGACAATTTCCAGTCAGAAAGGAATCAACAACATGTACACCGTCTCAACCACAGAGAGGATATTATTTAGCCGACTAAAGCAATTCTTAAAACTAATAAATAATAACTAATATTTGTTGAATTCTAAGTGCCAGGCTCTGTTCTAAGTTTTTTACATGTGTTAACTCATTTAATCCACCTAATAATACTATAAATTATGTTCTTAGGAAGCACTTGATCATTCTTGAGTACTACAGAAAGTCAAACTCAAGGAACAATATCATGAAGGTCAGGATGCTAAAGTGGAAAAAGTACTGGCTTCTAGTCAAGTCTCCTCTATTAATTAACTTTATGACCAAAATATGTGTATAACATTTTGGCAGTAAAATGCAGTGGTTAGTGTGTGGTCCTGGAAACAAGAATGCCTGGATTTGGATCCTGACTCTGCTATCTGTCAGCTGTGTAACACTGAAAAAGCGGCTACCTTCTCTCTGTCTCCTCATCTTTTTGAAATGGGGAAAATAACATTGTCACTTAATGGGACTGTGGGGAGCACTTAAGAAGCTGCAAATGATGCCTGATCCATAGGAGGTACCCTGCAAATAGCAGTTACTATTATTATTGTTATTGTACCCCTTCAATCTTTGAAACTATGTTTTCAAATGCTATTTTAATAGCACTAAATGGAAAATGCTATCCCCTGGTCCTGGAATATAAAAAGGGCATCAAAGTCCTCTGCTATTGAACAAGACATTGGGCAGCTGATGCCTACAGGCAGCCTGATTGTTCTTGACATCAAATTGCCTTGCCAGGAAAGCAAATGGCACATCCCTTAGTAAACTGCTTGTACAGAGAAGTACCTCACATGCTTTCTATTATATTTGATGCTCTACTAGCAGCATGTATATGCTACTTCTAATAGAGAATGGAACAAAACAAAAGAACATGTGCTTTGTAGTACTATAAATGTCCATTTGAGCTCAGCCTCACTGAATACGTTGTGAATTTGTTTAGACAAGTCAGATAAATGTACTTAAGTCTCAGTTTTCTTATCTATAAAGTGTGGGGTGGATAGTGGAGAATAAATGTCGGAATGTTTTGTTTCCAAGGGCCCAATAGTCAATAACTAAAATCGTAGACTCATAAAACCTTTACACCCTCAGACAGAATCACAGAATTTTCAGCATTTTAAAGTTAAAAAAAATCTGACATTTAATAACAAATACAAAATTTAATGTTTATTGTTAAATGTAGCTTTTAACATGAGGCAGGCACATCAGCAGATAAAAGAAGTACAACAATTAATTAGTCTCAGCCCCTAAATGCAAGTTCAAACTGTTTGCAACAGATTTGAATCAATGATGGTTATTTGCAAGTAGATTACAAATGTAAGCTGAAAACAGATCAGAATGTTTAATTTATTTCAAGCATCTTAATGCTTCATAGCTACAGACACTAAAAGTTCATAACAGGAAAACATAGCAAAAGGTCATTTTCTCTGGTCAACAGAATTTCCTTCATTGAAATGAGCCTGAAATAGTCAAGAAAAATAAGTGACAGTCCCATGGCTACACAATTGCAGTCATCTTTGATAGAGGCCATTCATGTTTAATAAAGAAGGTCATGCAGATTCAAAAATTAAAAATCTGAAGGACAACCAATGGTATCCCAAATTTTAAAATAGGGAAACAGACTAGGAGTTACTGGTTCTAAATAAAAATTAAAATGTCCTTATTTCTTAATATGATCTTTATTATTCCAGTTGCTGACAACTTTACTCACACATTATTGTAATCCACGCATCATTTTTCTTTCTAATAATTTAATGTTGATAAAATGCATTCTATTAATCGATACTAAGAATACACTGAAATAAAATCTAGAATCCTATTTAATCACCAAGGTTGGCATCAGTCTCTCAACTTCAAAGTGCACTTCCCCCAAAATATCTCCAAATACTCTTTTAAACTTAAAAGTTATGTTTCCCTTAATAAAGTTGCTCAAATTCAGTAAACAAAGAATGAGAGAGAAATAAAAGCAAGCACGTCCAAAGTTTACAAGTGATAAAATTAATTTCTGACAGTTAATAAACGTTTCCAATTCACATAAATAGCTAAAAGGTATGGGAAGTCTACAGCAAGTTTACATAGAGTAGGGTACGAAAGCCCCACCATCACTCTCTACCCTGTCTGCCCTTCCTCCAAAATGCATGCTGATTCACTTGCTTTTCTCTGTCATATTAATAGATGAAAAAAGAAAGAACTTTAATATTACATCCTATTTGTAGCATAGCCAAATGTTGTTTACATATATGATAGCATATTAAATCCAAGAAGTGACTTTTTGTGTCCAGAACAACTAGGGCACCAAAAACAAAGCAAAATATATCTATTTTGTTGGTCACCCTATTCCAACTCAGTGATGCTACAGGACAGAGTAGAACTTCCCCGTAGGGTTTATAATGCTGTATAATATTTACAGAAGCAGACTGATACAGCTTTCTCCTACCAAGCAGCTGATGAATTTGAACCACAATCTTTTTAGTTAGCTCCTGGTAGGTGAAGAAAAGCTGATTAGAACTTAGCTAGACCTAACAGGGATTACTATGGAGAGCAGCCAAAAAAGTCAAGACAATGATTTGCTTGAACAGATTTGTTCCTACTCATCAATAGGTATGACAGAAGAAAATAAAAGACCTTTCCAGGTTTAGCATCTGGCACTTGGGGACACTGACAATTTACAACAATCCAGCTTACCTTTCATTAGTTTCTATATCAAAACAGAACCTCTTGTCTATAGATTCAGTCTTCCTTCTCACACAGTACTTCAGGGTTAAGTCCAAAGGCCCCTGATAAAAGAGAAAGAATGATAGCCAGTTTGAAACAAAACAAAACAAAAGACCACAGAAGTTTCTTCTGCCTCATCAAGTAAGGCATCTGTTAAGGCAGCAGGAGCAATGTGTACACTTACTGAGAAACTTGTTCTTAAAACAGTCGAAGGGATCAGGTGATCCCATCATCAGAACAAAAAAATCTTACCATAGTGAATAATGGGGGGAGTGCGGAGTGGAGATCCAAAGCCCATTAGTAGGTCACTGGAGATCCCCTTGCAGAGGGGTCTCGGGGAGGAGATGAGCCAGTCAGGGTGTGATGTAACAATGATGAGAAATACAACTTTCCTCTAGTTCCTAAATGTTTCCTCCCCGCTCCCACTACCATGACTAGAATTCTAACTTGCAAGACTGGCTAGACCCGAGGAGGTACACTGGTACAGATAGGAACTGAAAATACAGGGAATCCAGGACGGATGAGCCCTATAGGACCAGTGGTGTGAGTGGCAAAACAGGGAGGGTAAAGGGAGAATGGGTAGGAAAGAGGGAACCGATTACATGGAACTGTGTGTGACCTTCTCCCTGGGGGACAGACAACCAAATAGTGGGTGAAGGGAGACGTCAGACAGGGCAAGATATGACAAAATACCCATTTATAAACTATCAAGGGCTGACGAGGGAGGGGGGAGCGGGGAGGGAGGGGAAAAATGAGGACCTAATGTCGGGGGTTTAAGTGGAGAGAAAATTTTTTGAGAAACGATGTACAAATGCGCTTTACAACAATTGATGTGTGTATGGATTGGGATAACAGTTGTATGAGCCCCTAATAAAATGTTAAAAAAAAAAAAAGACCTTATGGGACAGAGCAGAACTGTCCCTGTGGGTTTCTAAAACTGAAAAAAAAAAACAGTATTTCCTGCAAGATAGCAGATGGTTTCTCCCTGATCCAAGAAGCAATCACTGACAGCAAGAGAATATGCTCATACACGTCAGTGCTACTTTGCAAACATGGCAGAATATATAAATTCAATATAGGTTATCTCAAGGGAGTGAAACAGAAATGGGCTGCCCAAAGGTCATTAAACACAAATAATGAAATCTCCTGATCACTCCACATAGGGAAGTTGCAATTGGGAAAATGACTTTTTGTAGCCCTCTTTAAAAGGTCAAGGAGTCTTGATGGTGCAGTAGTTACGTGTTGGCCTGCTAACTGCAAGGTGAGCAGTTTCAAACCACCAGGGGATTGAGGGAGAAAGATGGTGCTTTCAACTTTGGTAAAGTTTTACAGTTTCGGAAATTCACAGAGGCAGTTCTATCCTGTCCTACAGGATTGCTTTGAGTTGGCATTGACTTGATGGCAGTGAGTTTGGAGGTGTTTCTTGGTGTTTTAGAAGGTCAGAGGGAAATTGAAGAAAGAGTGGCAGAAAGAGTAGGGAGGAAAAGATTCAGTTACCCATTTCCATATTCTTGAAGATAATCAGAATAATCAAAATAATCCCCCCCTAAGGGAGGGCAGGGAGTCCTGGTGGTGTAGTTGTTGTACGGTGGACTGTTAAGAGCAAGGTCAGCAAGTCAAAAACACCAGCTGCTCCAAGGGAGAAAGATAGGGCTTTCTACACCCATAGACAATTACGGACTCAGAAACTCGCAGGGAAAATTCTACCCTGTTCTATTGCATTGCTAGTGAGTCAAAATCGACTCAATGGCAATGAGTTTGGTTTTTGAAGGGAGGACAGGCACAGTGAAAATAAGCCAATTTGATATTTTATGCATGCAGAATAGTGTGTTCCACCTCAGTCTTCAATGTGGTATAGGGAAGATAATTTACGCATCATCTACTATGTGTCACATATCATGTTAGGTATTTGTAATGGACTTTCTTCACAATAACCATAATAGGAAAGTGAAGCTCACATGTATTCAATGGTTTCCCCAAATTCAGCAATGTTAGAATAGTCAACATAGTAATAAACTAGATAGCTTTAAAACCCAAGGTTCTGTCATATGTGGTACAAATGGTTAATTAACAGCTGCTAACAGAAAAGTTAAAAGTTTAGAGTCCACTTAGAGGTACCTCAGAAAAAAGGTCTAGCAATCTGGAAATTTAAAATATATTAGAAATCCTACGGAGCACAGTTCTACTCTGACACCATAGGATAGCCATACATTAGTCAATTTGACAACAATTGATTTGGTTTGGGATTTGTGTCACTTCTGTCATTTGCTACCTATCTGTAACCCTGAGCATTTTTATGATCTGAGTCATAACTTCACAATCTATTAAATGGGAATAATATCACTAGCACTAAAGTTTCAAACTCTAAACTTTTCTTAAGTGCCAAGTCTCTGCCTAGGCACCATGCTAGGCACTTCCAGATACTATGCCATCCAAAATGCCCTATATGGTTCATTATCCAATATCTGTCTCCTTTTGCTGATCCAAAATTAACCTTCCAATCTGCCTTACCTACCTCAATATTTGGAATCCCGAATACTGCATTGTTAGAGTTTTTCAAAAGGATAATTATTAAAAGGGGCATCCTAGTGAGTTAAATGTTGAGTTGCTAACCACAAGGATGACAGTTTGAACCCACCATTTGTTCCATGGGATAAAACTAAGACTCTCTGCTCCCATAAATATTTGCAGTTTTAAAAATGCTATAGGGCCTGATATATAATCAACCTGATAGCAGTGGATATGTACACCCTACCACTTTTAAACTCTAAATTCCCTCATTATTAATTGCACTAGAGTTAGTGGAAGCCTAACTCTATCACTGTTTACCTACTTTATGCCTTGGCAGTATAGATGTATTCCTATTTCTCACACATATTTTTATGACTACAAGACTTGTATACAGTTTCTTTCACACACAAAAATAATTTTCCTAGGTTCTTTGACCTAACACTCATCTATAAATTTATGATATGTGCTGGTTTGCATTTTGGTGTATATTTGCCACTGGTATTTCAAATGACAGCCAGGTCACGTACAGTAGGTAGATTCAGGCAGAGTTTCCAGGCTAGAAAGAAGAAATAGGTGGACCACTTCTGACAGATTAGCCACTGAAAACTGTATGAGTACAGTTCAACATTATTTGATGTTGGGTTAAAAGATAAACATCTCAGGTTGGAAGGTACTCAAACTCCAATTGGTTAACCTAAATAATATGGATGTGGCAAACGTTCGGGACTTTCAATTGCTGGATGGGGCACAAATCAAAATAAGAAGAAATAGCAGCAAACATTCATAAATAAGTAGAAGATAAACTGTACAAAATATGAATGTAGGAAAATTGGAAGTCATCAAAAATGAAATGGTACATATTGAATAAGAGAATCATATGGATTACTATGCCAGAAATAACAAAGTGAAGAGGAATGGCATCAGAAGAACATTTCAAGATCTATCTTGAAGTATAATGCTGTCTGTGATACGATAATATCTACACCTATCAGGAAATCAAGTTAACACAACTATTATTCAAATTTATTCGCCAATGCCTAAATCCAAGGATGAAGAAATTAAATAATTCTACCAATTCTTCAAGGAGTCCCGGTGGTATAGTGAGTTACATATCGGGATGCTAACTACAAGGTCAGAAGTTTGACTCTACCAACTGCTCCACAAGATAAGACTGTCTCCTCCCATGGAGCTTTAAAGTCTCAGAAACCTAAAGGGGCAGCTCTACTCACAGAGTTGTTATGAGTCAAAATTTGACTTGAGGGAAGTGTGTTACCCACATCCTCAGCCTGAAGTTGATCAAATATGCAATCAAGATGCACTGATAATTACTGGCAATTGCACTGTGAAGGCTGGAAATGAAGAGAAAGGAATATTTGGAAAATAGGACTTTGGTGACTGAAACAACGCTGGAGATTGCATGATAAAACTTTGCAAGACCAAAAAATTATTCATAGGGGCCAGCCCCAATCCCAACTACGTGGACACCTGCCCCTCGCCCCAGAAGAATTTACTTCAGAGGACAGTACTGAAGCTGCAACTCAGGGAAAGGGACATGTCTGATCAGAGCACACAGAAGCAAATGAAGGGGAAGGAAGAGAGTGGAGCACATCCTGGCTCACCAAGCCTTGAGGACGATATCCCAGCTCAGAGCAGCCAATCGACAGAGAGGACCATATGGCCGACCCCATTATGATACAAGAAATCCCTCACTGACCCACAGCCCTACATGGGCCAACACTGGAGACACAATGTGGGAATTGTGCCCAATCTGACCCAACCACACCGATGCAAAACACTAAGGGTGTGCAACAGAACAGCTAGGGAAACAGAGCAATGAGGTCCCAAGGTAATATAAAAAATAGACTTTGGGGCCAGGTCGTGACACCCCATCAGATTTGACCAGAAAACACTCCTAAAGGCCAACAAACAGTCCTTGAACTAACTACAGGCTTTTCTTTTTTTTTTTTT